ACCGTTGACTACTCATCGCATTTGCTCTCAGCAACACTGCCAATCTCAATACAGCACTTCCTCAAATATTCCGAAACAATAAAAAAGGAATCCTCAGGTATTGTCGGCTCACAAATCAACTCAGGGAATTTGAATTTGGGCAATTTGGATACGTCACCATCGGGTTTTAAGGGTGACGTCCTCAAGAATGGCACCAATTTAAGTCTTGCACTTGGCGGCGTCTCACTCGCCCCACCGTCCAATCAACAGGCAAACGGCGCCACCCATCACAATGGTGGTATTGTTGGCATGGATCATGGCGGTCATATGACCAATATGACAGATGCCACCAATAATGGTACCTCACTACATCCGGGCATAAATGGTAATGCCCAAAATGCAAATGTTAATGGACAAGCCCAGAATGTGCAACCCGCCACCGCTAATGTTACGGTCACGAATGGTAATGCTGTAACAAGCAGTGCACCGGCTGGCGCCACGACTACCTCAACCGGTGGTACTACTACGACCACTGCCAAAAAGACCAGAAAGAAGAAGCCACCAAAGGAGAAGAAGCCACGCCCTAAACCGGGTGAGATTCGTGAGATCAAAGCATTGGATGGCTCTACGCTATATTGTTGCCCCGAATGTCAGATGGCCTATCCGGATCGTAGTCTAATCGAACAGCATGTCATCTCGCATGCAGTGGAACGACGATTCGTTTGCGATATCTGTAATGCGGCTTTGAAGCGTAAGGATCATTTGACTCGTCACAAATTGTCACACATACCGGATCGACCACATGTGTGCAATGTAAGTTCGACTGAAGCAAAGCGCTAAGCAAATGTATAGCATTAAGAGTAACATTTTCAATTTTTTTTTTACAGATTTGCATGAAATCATTCAAGCGCAAGGAGCAATTAACATTGCATATTGTCATACATTCCGGCGAGAAGAAGCATGTTTGCGTCGAGTGTGGAAAAGGTAAGTGGACAATTGAATTTCGGTATAAATATGGTGGTTTGGGAAACTTCCAACGTAATTTAACCTTCAATAACTTTTGGAGAACCTTTCAATTTCCATCAAAAATACATATGTATACAGGGTGTTCTAGACCACGTCCCGCACTAAAATGGCGGGAGATGTTTTTTATTGAGAAACGCAAAAGTATGACTTATCAAATCGGGGATTCTCTATATTTTGGTGGTATTGTCGATTTCCGGTTTCGACCAGAAGTTGGTTAAACTGGCCGGTAGTCAAATTTTTTTATTAGACATACCTGTTTTTACTACAATTTCGCATTCTGATGATAAAAAAAAAATACGTAACTTTTATTTGAAACCTTTTTCTCCGAACTGCCTTTTTCAACCTTAACTGACCTTCAAACTTCAACTCGTCCTGAACATCTAAAATAGACGAAAACGTTTTTATTGGAAAAAGAAAAAAATGTAAATCACTATTCCGGTTTCGCTCGGATGAGGGTTAAACTGACCGGAAGTTCATTTTTTTTTTAAATAGGACATACTTACATGTTTTTACCACAGATTCGGATTCTGCGGACAAAAATACATAAATTTTGTCGCGAACTTTTTTCTGGAATGGACTTCCGGTTAAAATAATGCACTTCCGGTCTGTTTAACCAAATTATAGAGCATGCCCGTCTTGGTAATTTATATTTTTTCGTTTTCCAATAAAAACATTTTCATTTAGAGGTTGAAAAAGGCACTCCTGAGAAAAAATTTTCAAACAAACAAAAGTTATATATTTTTATCTTCGAAATCTGAGTCTGTAGTAAAAACAGGTACGTAATTTAAAAAAATGGACTTTCGGTCAGTTTAACCCACTTCCAGTGGAAACCGGAGGTCAGTAGTGCCACCAAAAATAGAGCCTCGCCGTTTCGGTATGTCATACTTTTGCGATAAAAAAAAAAAACACTTGCCCTACATTTTAGAGGAGGTGGGCTAGGATACTCTGTACTATATATCGATCATTCCGATACGTTGACATAAACACGAGTTATGAAATTTCAAAATTGAAACAATTTTTTTCCTATGTTATTTATATGGAAAATAGAAATTCGCGATGAGCGGGATTAAATAAAAAGATAGTCGATTTTTTTCAAACTACATAGTCTAATGTACATATTGAGTCCTAATTGCAAAAATAACTTGAGTGAAATTTTTTTTTTTAATTTTTCCTTTTAACGCAGAAATGCTCTTAGAATATCTAGAAATTTTGGAAAAAAGTCGTTTCCGCTCTTTTCGCGGTTAGGGCATATGCATGTTTTCGAAATCGGTTTTTCGTTGATTTTTTTTATTTTTTATTTCTAATTTAGGTGTGTATGTACTTTAATGAACTCAATTTTGACTGTCACGGTCATATGGAAGAGGAATTTTTTTAAGAAAAAAATGCTAGTAATATTTTTTGTCAACCTCCCAAATTTTTATATTTCCAGGTTTCTACCGCAAAGATCATTTGCGCAAGCACACACGCTCGCACATTGCACGTCGCGTCAAGTCCGAAGTGTCGGCGCAGAATGTCAATGCCGGCAGTGGTAGCGGTAACAATGGCCAGAATAATACGATACAAGGTTCCTGAGGTTCGTACAAGGACTTTTGGTAAATTTTCAAAGAAACTTCGCACCCATGGACTGCGTTATATTGAAGTCATCAACTGGCATGCGCGCACCTACATACATACATACATACATACTCGTATCAAAGGTGTATCGCATATTAGTTGGTGGCGTCAATGTCTACGCAGTTTGAAGTTTCTCTGAATGTTTACCAAATGTCCTGCTGAGCCTTAAACAACGATGGTAGGAGATAGGAGGAGGAGGAGGTGAAATACAAAATCTGGCGGAAGAAAAAAGTGGCAGAAATTAGATTCTTTCGTACATCTAATTGGAATACTTTTTTTTTTGAAAGTTTTGCAATATGGAAGCCGGTGAGAGAGTGAATAGAGTTAAGATTGATGGTTTAGAGCAAATCGCACAAAATTACACGAAAGAAATACAGCGTTCCGGCTGCAAGTGAACGCAGATAATAATAACAACAACAACAACAACAACAACTAGTAATAACTGAAACCGTTTAATAGCAATTTTGATGTACAAAATATTTATTTAAAATATGTATGAAGTTAGGAAAAAAACAAAAACAAAATAACGAAAATGAACACAAGGATACATACATAATTATTTATATACATATTTATGCCGATGAAATTATAGAAAATATGTACTTAATTGTGTCACAAATAACACGAACAACAACTCATTTGGAAAAGAACGCGCAAACAATTGTAGGCGGATTTCCGCGCATTTATGTACATAGATACATACATACATACATACATATGCATACTTGCACACATACACACATTGTATGTATGTATGTGCGAGCATTATTTAAAGAAGCGAAAAGCTAAAATAATTTAATAGTTTTGTATTTAAATTATTTTGGAGGATCTGTGATCTTTTCTGGGTATAAAAAAATTCAAACAACAAGGCAAATAGCTACGCAAAATGTGAGAGAGAGTGCGCTAAAATAGGTGTATAGGTTAAAGGAAAAAAATGATTATGAAAAAACTGATAGAAAGAAAATAGCAAAGATGTATAAGTACGTATATACATTTTTATTAGGGTGGTCCTGAAAAATATCAGCATTATGGAGCACGCCTTTATTTTGTTCTACGTAAAAAAAAATCCACGAAACTTTAAAAATTAAAAAAAAAATAGGGGTCGCGAGCAGGGTTTGAAAAAGTCTAATTTTTTTAAGCGCAAAAATTTAACAAAATTTTTACTTTGAGCGAGCTTATGAGTTCATATGAATAAGTTTCAATAATAAGTGAAATTTTTGTCAGATTGTAAGTCACAATTTTTTCAATCCTAGTAGCGTCGTTAAATATTTTTTTTGAATTCTTAGATTTTAAAAATTTTTTAAATTTATATGTTAATATTTTTAAGGACCACCCTAATATGTATGCATAAGCATACAGCCTAAACATAAATATAAAGTAAAACTGAGGCAAAAACTTTGTTTTTGTTAATGTGTAGCAAACTTGTAAAAAAAAAGTATAATGTGCAATTTTTTAACTATAATTTACTATATTATCTACTAATTTTTACACTTCACATTTTGTTAGATTTTTTTATCTGCATTTCTTTTACGTTTTTTTTTTTTGTTATCAAACAAAATATTAAATATTAATGTTAAGTAAAGTTCAGCGCGAATTTAGTGTAAGCGCTGAAAATACACATACATATGTACATATATATAGAACCAAATATGTATGTATGTACATATATTTTAAGAGATACGCAAATACTAGATTTAAGTTAAAAAAAAAAAAACACTGAAGTAATTGAGTTACATTTTTGTAGAAATGCTAAGACCACACTTACATATATTGTAAAATTATTATTGTATGCATACAAACATGCAACAAAAATAAAAATATTGATATTTTAAGGTTTAACTGCATACGCATAAAAATGTTAATTTAAGTATAAAATGGATATAACATTTACTTCACAGCAAGACAAAAAAAACAACATTCATGAACAAACTACAACAAAATCTAAACCAGAGATGCCATGTACAATTTAGAGTGGAGCGAATCAAACAGAAGTCCTGCAAATAAAATACAAATAAAATCGAAGATATACACACTATACATAACCAGCTCATTGCACACTATGTATATGCATTTGTACGCAAAAATCCACAACTCTAAAATTTCATGTGCATGATAAAGTAACTACGCATTAAACTGACAATCTCCGCACAACATCTCTAAAATTGACTCATCACACTATCACTCCCTTCAACTTTTTTTTTTATTAGCAACACAAAATTCGCTCATAACTAAAAATTTTGGGCCTTAAGCGAAAAAGTCTACTCGCGGCTAAACCTCTAAGCTTTTTAATCATATGCGTCCTTCAAAATTTCTCAATCTTTTACACAGCAGTATTGTTTTAAAGTAAAAAAACTCAGCGACCCAGAATAATAATTATTTTGTAAGAATTTTAAAAGTATTTTGATAGTTAATAATTATGAGTGAGGAGCATTTTTAAAGTCATCGATAACTATTATTTTGAGTTTTAAATTATAAAAGTTATTTCATAATAATTATGAGTGTTCGGGACAATTTCAGGACTAGTTCAGGTCCTATTTCGGTATCAGTTCAGTACTTTCTAACGATACCTTGAGTATTTTATTCGATTGTTTTAAAAATTACATGCATTTTAACTTGTCTCCTCCTTAGGCCTCAAATTTACTGTCACTTAAAAGACATGTATAGGAAAAAATTTCATTTCCTACGTGTAGTTTTTTAGATTTTGAATTTTACGCGAAAACACAAATTTGCATCAAAAACTGCATTTATTACGTTATTACGTACATATGTATACAAAAACATTCTTTTTCGCGGCTTTTGTGTATGTGATATAGTGGAACAACAACCACAATGTATCCTCAGCAGTAGTCAGTCACCATACGATGGTCGCATCGACCTTGGAGCCCCGCTATCCATGTCAAACCGGTTCTGGTGAAACCGCTCTCCTTGTTCATCTCACTAAGATCCAAGATTCTCTGGCGATATTATATCCTAGAGTTTTAAAGCTCTCCAAAATTTTGTTTACAATTTTGGAATAGTTATTTGGCTTAAACTCGTATTTTCTCAGAACATTTTTAGTAATTTTATTTACAAACACAAAGCTCACACAGAACGTTCCGAATCGTTCATTAAACTCAAGAAATCAGAATCCTTTATTAAGGTTCATATCTGAGGGCCATCGAGAATTCTTGCTTATATTTATATTTTTCTGCGCTTAGACCCGGAAATTGTCTCATTTCCTATTTTTGGCTAACATCTTATCTAATTTTTTCATAAGGGTCAGTTTTGTATGCAAGTAGGGCAATATATTTTTATATGTTGAAACTAAAAGTAGATTTACGACATTCTGCAAATCCGTTTTGTGAGTAAGGTACTGCATATCTCAACAAAATAGAATATAATTTTCTGAAGAAAAAAGTTTTAGCAGGCCTTGCTCTCTTGTACGATATTTAGAACGTCACTTTTGTACTTGACGCCAACAAGTGTCTTCTTTCAATCTAGAAGCCATTACTTCTATAGATTCTCAGATAGTTATATACCCCTTATCAATGCATTAAATTCTTCTTGGGTGAGATGTTTTGGCTTTCTAGAGGTTATTTCTTTGAAATTACGGTCACTGCATACCTCCTTGAAGATTTCTTCGAATGATGTGGCACTCCGAACCACATATGGCTCCTTTGACCACTAACTCACTGTCTCAAATGCTCACAGCACAGTTTGCAAACAGTTTATGCTATCCAAGGTCTGTATTCCAAAAGTTTGGATTTGAAGTAGGAAAAAAAAGATGTTTTTATGAAATCGATTATAGGTTTTAGAAACCTTTTAACTGTGTATTCACCATAAATGTAACAAAATACCTTTGGCTCATTAAGACAACTTCTGTGCGGTGAAGGCATGACATTAAAATCTTTTTGTATATAGAAACGTATCGATAAGTCTCCAAAAGGCACCACCAAAAGTATTGATTGCAGCCAATATATAAAACTACACGTAGGAAAAAAAAGTAATGTTAGTATTGTCAACGCACACCAAAATATTTTCTTCAAATTATTGATCTGATACTTCGCTTTTGAAAAAAGCTCTTTGTTCAGTGGCGTTCGATAGTTAACTTGATTTACATACTTTTACTGAAACCCGAACGAGAGTTGTTAGCTCGTCACCATGAAAATGGCCATAAGTAAATCGTAAGGGTTTTTGTTCGTTTGCAAATCATCAAAGCTCTATGACGTTTGATAACTTTCATGTAATTCATTACAAGCTTGCAAGGAGTAAAAGGCTATTTTAACATACATATACACAATTTGCTACTTAGGTTTTTATGTTTCAATCGCAAACCTTCCCATTACATACACACATACATACACCTTTTGCAATTTATTGGCAATACTTAGGCGTAAATCGCTTGCAAATCAAAAAAAAAATGTACAAAACACACACGCAAATACCACAAGCATTTTAGTTTTCAGCATCATAAACAAATAAACTGAGGTAACGGCATCCAATCTGACAATGTGACTCAATGCATTTCGCTATTCATCAAATAAAATGCATTTAGACTTGCCAACTACTTGTATTATTTCGTGAAAGTATGTATTATCAAATTGGTTACAGCAACAAATGAAAGTACATGCATGCATAAGTATTAGTAAAAAAAAACGTTGCAGTTAAACACAATAAAGTATGTACATGCGTGCAATAAAATAGTTTAAAAAAATAGTTACAAATGTGCAACAAAAAAAAAACAACAATACAAGCATCCCCATTACAACCATTTACATAAGTAAGTATGTACGATATATAAATACATACATCGTAAGTAAATAAGCATTGAACAAATAAACAATAAACAGCAAATACAAGATACAATACTTAAAAAAAATACAAATTTTGCAGTAAACATATAGTTCAATTCAAGTTCATACAACTAAGAAAAAAGAACAAACAATAACAAAAAATACATACATACATATACAAAAAATCTATTTTTTGTAAGTTAGCGAACTAAGCGAAATAAAAAAGAAAACCATCAGAAAATAATTAAAATTAAATAAAAAAAAAGCATTTAAAGCATCACCAAAACTACGGAGATTATTTTTCTACTCACCACTACATACAAATAAACAAGTACTCGTACATAGAAAAAATGCATTTGTTCGAAATATTAAAAAAAAATATATATACAGAAACAAACTATATACATATGTAAATATGTATTAACAATGCGGGCTTTCACGAAATTCAAGCACATGGCATACGAATGCGGATAGACATATGTACTTGTACATAAGGTGAAAAAGAAATATTCGCAGTGTTTTGAGTTTTTTGTATGCCTAATCCCCGTCAAACTAAATGCATAAATACATACATACATAGTAACGAAAATAGAATAAATACAACAAATGGCGAATCAAAGTTCAAACACTTATTTCAAGTGACTGCAAATATTTGTTCAAATTAACGGCATTTGACTCCGCACTCATAAATATTTCGTATGTATTTTAAAAAGTACGTAAATTACTATTTAAATATGTAGGTTAACAGTTTAAATCATCACCTAAGATGCATGCATACATACACATACGAGTACATATACATAGAGTTCATAGAAACATCGTCTAATTTCACACAAAGATGATCAATTCATATTAGTAGTCAGTAAAACCTTTATACAATCGCTATATGTATGTACATATAACCTGCATATAAAATCAAAAAATTGCAATAACATAAAACATACAAAGATTTCCAAAAAAAAAAACAACAATATACATATATACACACACATGGTGCAATAATTATTTCAATTTAATTTAATTTTAATTTTTCTTAAGGACTTTTCTAGTTAAGGAGCATAAACGTGGCATCATCA